GACACTGGTTTCAGGATTTAGTGACGCTGAAAGTTGGAGCCTCAGAGAAGAGGTCTGGTCCTAGGAATGTGTCATGTGGCATCAGAGCTAGAACCAGTACTCAGATTTTACCCACACCCAGTTGTCTTGGAAATTTTTGCTAAGGTAGATTTTTTTTCTAGCATGCTCACTTATCATTCAGTTATCTAAGTACTTCCATCAGTGCCTTACTCAAGGTGCCTATATGTGCCTGTCATATGTCTCTTCTTTTCTTATCCTCTCTCTAAGAGGGAGGAATATATATAGTAGAGTGTCATCTTTTGTTTCAGATTTATTTTTAAATATATATGCAGTTATGCAAATATACACTGCATTTAAACCAGAAGCTCATAATGATGGCCTTTGGCTCCTCAGAGAGATCCTTCCACAAGAACCTATGTAGCCCTGACTTTAAAGAGTTCCATCATGCCAGAAGACTGTAATTTATGACTACAATCATCATACCTGAGTGTTAGGTGATCTCTTAGGTAGCATGAGCCCCAGCCAAGGAGCATCTTGAAGATAAGGACTAAGACCTTGAATTTCTTTTAAAAGTATTTGGGGAAGTCAGTTTGAAGGACAAGTTTGATGGGCTCCTAGTAACCTTTAATGAGGAAGGGAGGCAGTGCAGCAAACCTTACTAGCTGGAACTTCTGAAATGCTATTAAGTGCCCAGGTATATGGTATTGCTGCAGTCCAACAAGGGGTGAATTAAGGCATCATCTGCAAGGACAGAACAGTCTGTCTGCCAAATGGAGATAACAGAAAGCATTATTTCAAGGATGCTGCTATGTGAAAGCTTGATGTTAGCAAAAAATGCTATAGATGACATTGACCAGTTGTGGATTAGGTACCTTCATCCAAAGGAACCTGCCCTATGGTTGTGAATTCTGCAAAATGCCCATAGTATCACCTTCTTTCTCAGGTTTAGTTTCAGGCAGCTGTTCTCCATCCATGAAGTGATCTCATCCAAGCCATAGGCCAGCTGAATGGTAGTGGCATGCGTAAATGTGCAGAAGGATGGATAGAGCTATGTATCATCTGCACTTGAGTATATGTTGTCTGACTTGGTCACCCAGTGGTTGCATGTGGGTGGGAAATAACCTAAACCTTTTTATTTTGGGCTATTGTAATGAGGTGCATGACTCAGGGGTTGATGCCCAGATTTAGGGGATTAGGGGATAATGATAGCCTACCTGCTTAAGAACACTGGGTCAGCTGTAATTGGCTGGGCTCAGAAGAAGTTAAAAGTTCCCAGGAAGGGAGGCTGGAGGGCTGGGGCAGAGAACGTGAGAGCGCACATGCCACAGCTTGTGTTGCTTTGTATGTTCTTTGTACCTGTACTGGTTTTGTTTCCTGTGATGAGAAGCTATCTGCATTTATAGTAAAAGGACTGACTTTAATGAAGAAATTGGCTTCTGAGTCTGCCTAAGGGAGTGTGAACTAGCTACAGTTATGTTTTCAAGTTTTTTCCATAACTGAAGGTTAGACACTTTGATGATCCTGAGATTTGGACTTAGGTTTGGTTTCTTTTGTCCCTAATATTGCAACTCCAAAATGCATTTTCTAGCAATGTTCAGTGTAGTGTTTTCTCCAATCAAACTATTTGAATAAATGCTGAAAGAGTAAAACTTGAAGAAGAAATCATGCCTGCAGGTTGTTATTTCACCCTGTCACAACTAGGCATAACTTTTTAATGATTAATTTAACCTTTTGTGGTAAAGTTACTTTTTTCATGTGTTTGCTGTCCTGATCTGACGGATCAGAGGTAGCAAAGAGAGACAGAAGTGCCAGCCTGACATCTCATCTCAACCACTCTTCTCATCAGCTTCAGTATTTACATAATGTCTAAATCAGACTCAACTAGCAGGGGCCATAAAATGGCATTTACTCCTTCAGCTCAAAGGAGACTTTTTTTTTTTTTTTTTGCTAATTTGTTATTGGGCAGGTGTCCAAAGCCTTAGACCATGGAGTTCTACCTGGGGACATGACCTCGTATGATCTGGCTGAAAGGGGACCCTGGGGCCAGATCTATACTGTAATTTTTTTCTGAACTAGCTAAATCAGACAGGGTGTGATGAGGCCTGTTCTCCGGCATAGTTGTGCTGGCAGAAGCCATTAGTTAAGACAATGTTATACCAACAATGCTTTGTCAAACAAAGCACTTTTGTCAATACAGCTCATGTGGGTACAGAGGGAAGTGAAGAGGAGTGCCTTGCTGGTGTGTTATGTTGGGACAGGTAGACCAGCAAGGCGTTTCAAGTATTCCTGGCCTAGTTCTCTTCATTGCTTTGCAATTTTACAACCAGCCAAGCCAGAATCTCCCCAGGCTCTGTTGGTTTTAGGCCCAAAGGTAAAAGTAGTAGCCACTGCCTTTCCGCGATTGTAGTGATTTTTTTAATGTTGTTTATTTTCCCCCATGTAGGTCCCCAGGTAAGCTTTCTACCCCTTGGGGCCATACTGCTGTAACAGGGCAACATGTGACCCTGGGCGGCCACAAGAGCTATTTAACAATGCCGTTGGGACTTCATCCGTTTCTTGAGTTTTTCAATTTAAACTCCACAACATCAAAGTTGTTTGTTTGCATACCTTTTTAAAATTTAACTTCCTTCACTTTTCACCCCCCCACTCTTGATTTTGAAAGGGAGGCAGTCAGCTTAAACTCTGCTGACTAAGCCAATGGAAGTTTGACTTCATAGCTCTGGAACACATGCTCTGGTAGAGATGTACTGGGAATGTGCATTGCAGACCAAGATAATGCTAAACACGTGTTCTACATGCACAGATATGAAGTCTATGTGATAATTATATATGAAGTGACAGCTTTATCCATAAATCTAATTAAAACTAAATTCTTCCAAATCTAGTGAAGACCATACCTTCCACTGAGGACTAGCAGCATATCAAAGTCCTGATTCTGCCAAAGGAGTGGAGTGTCACTGAAATCAATTCTGAATTTTATCTTTGAAATTATAATGGACAATACTGGGATACCTTCCCACTAGTACATCAGTCTTTTAACATAAGTATTGCGTCATAGAGCATTATAAAGGATATTGTGTGAACACACATTTCCAAAATAGTTTTTTTGTTTGCCCTAAACTGATAGTGCAACTTCTGAGTGTTGACACACACTTTAGTGTAGCTGTTGCTACGAAGGGATTGCTATATTTATATTGCTAGGCAGAAATAGTTCCAGTAAAAGGCAACAACACACTCAGAAAGGTAAATTCAACAGAAATTTATCACTTGTCTGTTCCTGCCGAAGTAACTAGAGCCACTGTATCAGGAGGTTTTTATGTTGTTTTTCTTTCACAGTTGTGTAAAAAATGGACTGAACATTGATATTTGTTTTTAATAGTGGTGGGACCCTTAAGTCTATATTTTTGGTTTACTTCTATTGCTTTAACTTGTGACTGAACTAAATAGTAAGCAACATAGACCAACAACAATGATAAAGCTTTAAAATAAGTGCATCTACTCTGTGAAAAGTACATGAGAGATGCATGGAATGGTATTGTAATTGTATAGTAATGCGAAAAGGTTTGACAGCCTGGAGCTTGTCTTGGCATAGCATGTCACTTTATCTGTTCCCAGCATGACACACTGCTTTATCAGCACTTCATTTTCAGTTGTTGTTTCATCTTTAAGTGTGAAATAGGTTTTTTCCTAGTGGTTGTAGAAGGAGATTTTGCTGGCAATTAAAATAATAGGAGCACAATGTCTTGATTGATGCGGCCTAAAGTAAAATGTTGGGTTATTAAAGCGAACTTGTAAATTTCCAATTTCTCTGAATTGGTGTCTTCACATTGATAGCTGTAGTTTTTGTTATTACTAATAATGGACAAAAAATTCTGTAAAAGTTAAAAGTATACCTAAAAACCTAGACTCCACAAACACCCTTATGCTGCAAGCCCCTGCACACTTACTGACTCCTATAGTGCCACTGATTTTTCTCTCAAAAACTTAAAGAAAGGGGAATAGTCTTAGGCTTTTTGAAATACAAACTTCAAGTTACTGGTATGCTTCATATTAATTGTATTCTCCGATGACTTCCTTAAGTAACCTAGATTTCTTTATGCTGCCTGGGCTTCTGTTCTTTCCACCAATGCTTTGTGTTTTCCATTTTTCTCTTCAAGCTCCTCTGCCTTTTCTTGTTGCTATATCTTGTGCTGCAGATGTGGGGTATGATCTTTAAGGGTATGGACAAACATGCACTTTAGTTGCTTTAAAGTGGGGAAGCTGCTGCTTAGAAGCATGTAGTAACTGTTATGCTGTTAGGAGTGCACAGTCGTGTAGTGGTAAAAGTGAGCTAAATCCCTTAACCTTGACCCAGAATGAAACAGTTAAGGTTGGAATAGTTTTCCTAGTATGGCTATGGACTCATGCAATTAACAGTTGCATTGTAACAGCTTGTATCAAGATACAGTTGTTTTGTCTATACCAGGTCTGCACCTTCCTGTACTGCCCTCTGCTCCATTCCTCTTCCCCATCCGTGTGTGTGTGTGTGTGTGTATGTGTGTGTGTGTGTGTGTGTGTGAAGTTTTTTAAAGAGAAGCAGCACAACAGTAGAATGAGTCTGATTACGATGACAGTAGATTGTTAAATTATCTTTGTTTTCATGTGTGGTTCAGTATACCTCCCCCCAGACTATTATATTGTTTTTCATTTAAACATGCAATGATAATGGAGAGAAAAGTAGTTTTGGATAACTCATGCCTATTTGTGCTTACAGGATTTGGTCCCAAAGTAGTGGCTAAATTCACCTGTTCATGACTCATTCACATTTGAAAGTGTAGCTTGTTAGATACCTTGGTATACAGCAACAGCATTTCTCTCACCTTTCTATTATTTTACAAGAAACTTGTGGCTGTTTTATCAACTTTATATTTACAGAAGCTGAAGAGAAATAACATAAAATAAGATGGTATATTGTTGAAAATGGTGTGAACATACATGACAGTTGATAACCATGTAGTATGTGTTTTTCTTTCCCCTTCTTTCTTTTCCTCTGTCACTCCCTGCGCTTCAAAAAGGGGATGGATGTGGCCATATGGTGGTATATCAAGACAGCGGTACTCTGGCATCCAAGAACTATCCTGGGACTTACCCCAATTATACCGTTTGTGAAAAGAAAATTCAAGTGCCTCAGGGAAAACGACTGATCTTAAAAATTGGTGACTTGGACATTGAATCCCAGAACTGTGAATCTGACTACCTTGCCATCTTTAACTCTTCAAAATTGTACGGTATGTAATAAAACTTGGAAAGACAGTTTTGGTACAAGGTACAGGTTTTAACTGATTGTGATCTGAGAAAGGTATGGAAAATGTCCCCTGTTTGCATTAGAGAAATTATTTCTTCCCTATTTTTCTGGCCCCAGCATGTCAAGTTACTCCTCACATCCTGTAAGAAATACGGTTGTTCTGTGCATACTGTAAACTGCGTAATCAGTGTGAACTTTCAACAAGTGCCAGTGCTTTCTCTAAGAGGTTTGACCTCAATTCTGTGGAATTTAACAACCATGAATGTCAAGCAGAAAATTTTACACATGAGACTGGATCGCTCATGAGTCCCTTACACCTATGTTTGTGCCATTCCTTTGCTTGGTGTGGCAGCAGTAGAGTAAAACACTTCCTTCCTTCACAAGACAGAATTGAAAAACCAGATTGAAAATGATCATCATTATAAATTGCTGGGCAGGTTGCAGTGAAACTTTTGTGTTGCAAAAGCAAGCCAGAAGTAAAGGGTGCATGCTGAGAGGACCTGCTAGTAGGAAAGAGCTGGAATAAGGATAGAACGTGGTCTGGAAACAATCTTACTTTTTATTTTGCTAACTCAAAAGCTGCTGTATGCACACAGACCTTAAAGCAGAGATGATAAATGCGGAGCCAACTTGCAATTTACACAACAGACCTAGACAGGGGGTTAAGCTGAAGAGATACTTGCAATGTCAAGTTGTTCTGCATCCAATAGATGCATTAAGACCATGCATTCAATAGGCCTAGAAGCCTCTGTGGGGAAAACCCTAGGCATTCCCCAGCTTGGCCAAACCACATTGATGTTAAAACTTTCCCCCTGCTGATATTGTAGGCGGTAAATTACTTTTCATGACAGTATGACCACTTACAAAATTCATTACTTTATATTCAGGTAATGGGGTATGTAAACAAAATGAGCAGATAATATTATGTGCATAAAGTCATGAATTATAATAAAACTTTAAGTTTAACAAGGGCTGTTTGTTGCAAAGTACTCTGTAGCCCTCCAGTCAACTGTGAAAGCTGAAACTGAATCTGCAGTATTGGAAATCATTGATAGATTGGGGGAGGAGGAAGAGCGCCATAGAGGATTTTCTGGTTTTCAAGATGACCCTCACCGTCGTGCTCGTCTCAGTGAAGTGTATGAATCTTTGAAGCTCAAGATATCTTCATAGTAAAGGATGATGATTGCCTTTCATTCATGTGTGTGGTAAACCTATAATTCATATAGTGCAGTAGGATTAAGTGAGTTATTAGGGTCCTTCTCACAAATGGAGATAAAGGTATTATTGCCCTTCATGGGTGAGTTAGACTATGATATAAAGTCTTTACTAAGTGTGAGCAGTGATATCTTCACGTGTAATCTCATGAAATTTTTTTACTGTGCATGTGTGTAGGTGTGTGCATGTTGTAATGAGGGACAACCCCCTGCATATTCAAATGTAATTGTTCCATTTCAAATGCACATTTTTTGAGCCATTGCCTGCAAATTGCCTAGAAACAATATACATCTAGCATTTTTTATTATTTTATTATTGAATAATTTTCTTGGTATCATCCTGACTTTTATAATGAAACAATTTTAATGAGAAATTGGGGGGTGGGAGTGGGGGAACAGACTAATACAATCCATATATTTGTGTTCCAGGTAGAGAATTAAGTTTATATGTTAGATTTATTCTTTGGTTGGTGTTTTCCTAAACATCAGTCTAAAGACATCTTCAGAAGACTTCAGTTCTACAGTTTCACAGCCCACAGATATATATAAAAAAAGTTGAACACTGTGTAAATACCATGTAATTATTTTTTTTTCCTAAATATTCCACACCCTTTTCAGTCCTGCTTGGTAATGTTTGATGCATATCAGCTATAATTACTGACATACTTTGCTTTTTCAGTAACCAGCTGCACAGTTAGCAGATTTCACTCCTATATCTGATTAAGCACCTATTCTAGCCCAGATGGATACATTGTTATTTTAGTGACTTTTGAAGACAACATGTTTTGGTGCATGCAGTTCATGGTAGTCTTGGGTTTTATATAAATATGTTTTTTTTTCCATTTGCACTTTTAAAGATCCAGAGAAATCAGGACAGTTAGGTCTATTTAAAAATTTAGTTCCAACTTTTTAAAAGTGTAAGGTGTAATTTTTTTCTGTGTATTTAGTTAAGTCAGTGCAACTCTTATCTCCACATACGTGTGTGTGTGTGTGTGTGTGTGTGTGCATGTGTATGTATATGTGTGTGTGTGTGTGTGTATATATATATAAAAATATATATATAATATTATAAAAGCCTTAATCTATCTGACTGTCTGTCTGTCTGTAATGCTTTATTTGCACTCTGATTGGCTGATTATAATTTCGGGGGTCTGGCTGATTATTGGCTGAATGAAACAACCAATCAGCTGGCCTTGCCCCCCCTACCCTGCTCCCTGTAGGCTGAATGAAACAACCAATCAGCTGGCCTTGCCCCACCCTACCCTGCTCCGTGTAGGCAGGAGTGATGGAGTGGAGGGAGCTGGCCTTGCCCCTGCCCCCCTTGCTCCTTGGAGGTGGCAGCAGCAGCATGAGGGGAGAGCGGTGTCAGGACACCGTGGGAGCGTGGTGAGGCCATCAGCACTGACCTTGGTCCACCCCACCCCACTTCCATCGTTTCCGCCTGCAGGGCTGACATGGGCGTGCTGTAGTGGTGGGGGGTGGAAGAGTGGGCTGGGGCA